GAGGCTGCGCCGGGGGTCCCGGCTCCGGCGGCAGGGGCAGGGAGGTCCGGCCCTGCTCACGAGAGGCTCTGCTCATCCTCCAGGTGAAGACGCGTCTGCTCGAAGAGAAGGGGCTGCGTGGGGCTGCCGGTGCCGCGGCCGGGGAGCGTCTTGGTGAAGTCGGATGAGCCTGAGGGAGGAGAAAGGGGGTTCAGCCCCGATAACGCCGGCCCTGGGGTCAGACTAAGAACCCAAGCAGGGTGCTTGGCCCTGGGGAGAGGGCGGCATGGACCAGGGAGACCATTCCCCCCCAACACCCCCTCCTGCCCTGCACTGACCATAGGAGAGACAGGGCTGGAGCCCACGAGCTCCATCCCCCCCTGCCCCTGCTAAGATGGGGGTTCAGCAAGCACCAGGGTGGGACAGAGGACACGAAGGGGACACACCATCTGCCACCAGCCTGGGAGAAGCCAGCAGGGGCCTGGATGGTCATGGTGCCCACGAGGCAGCAGAGCCCTCACCCGGGAGCCCAGCTGAAGCCCGTGGGGAGGGCAGGGGTTTCTGCTGCCCCGCCTGGGGTCCTGGCACTCAGGGATAAGCGGGGAGCCCTGCGCGTGCCAGGAATAGGAATGGAGCCAGGACAGAGCCAGCAGTGCAGCCTGGGTGGTTTGCTGCCCCCTCCTTCCCTGCCCCCATGGCCAGGACCAGCTCTGTCCCCACTCTGGCCTGGCTGCCAGCCTTCCCAGGAGGGGCCCTGCTGCCCCGCACAACAGCGATGCACAAGAAGAATGAGAAGACGTACCAGCTTACTCCTCTATACCAATAGAGCAGGAATCGGGACCCAGTGCTGCCCAAGATAGGAGGGAGGAAGGCAGACAGAGAGGGAAGGAGACATTAGAGAAGTACTCAGAACGGACTGCAACTCTACGGAAGAAAACAGGCTGCAACAACAACAGTCAGGGGTGAGGCCAGCAAAGCACAGCACCCGCAGCCCTGCCCGCCATGACACCACCCCGCAGCAGAGGGGTGCCCACTGCCCCCCACGCCGTCCCAGATGGTTCCCCTCCCTCGGCCGATAGCAGGAGCAGGTTGGGGGCAGGCACGGGAGGCCATGGTCACATAAACTGTGCCACTGGGTGGCCACAACTCAGAGAGGAGAAAGGAGGGGAAGGACAGAGACAAAAGGGTGAGGGAGGAGGAGAGTGAAGGCGGGGGGAAGTTACCTCTGTATTAGCCCCCCTCGCCCACATTCACTCTGCCCACGGGGAGGAAGCAGGAGCCTGTGCTCCGTGCAGGTGCCTTCTTGTCCCATCCAAAGGCTCCACAAGCCACGCCGGCTGGGGAGGCTGCCCGTGGTCAGGCACACAGCCCACACACGCCCCGGCCTGGCAGGTCGGCAGTTCGCCTCTGACCCCAACGGCGCGGCCATTACCTGGCAGGTAGACGTCTACCGGGGGGTCACTCTCCGACTGCGTCAGGCTCCTGTGCTCACCGCAGCTGCCGTCCTGCAGGACGTCTTCGACCGAGGGCGGGCGGCTACCTAGAACCAGCCGAGAGCACAGCCCTCAGCCCCCAGCCCAGCGCTGCAGGACGGGTTGAGAACTTCCACGTGAGGAAGCTGCCCGGGCCCCCCCCAGCCCCACAGAGGTCTCAGGAGAGCGGTCAGACTGGTCCAGGTCACAGTGCCAAAGGGACAGCTCTGTTCACACACAGGCTTGTGTCCCAAAACGCACCCAGCACTCCCCTCCCACCCTATCCTCGTGCCCTCTGGATGCTGACTGAGCACAGACCCATCCCAAGACATGGGGCACAACCTGCATGCCCAGCATCGTGGCCACGCTCTCACCAGGACCACACTGGTGCACGCAGCCACCTCCCTCCTCAGCCCGTGGCGTGGGCAGCTCCACGTGTGTAGAGCTTACAGCAAGGATAGATGCTTGGCAAGTAAACCAGGGAGATCTGTTGATTTTTTCCCCACCTCCCAGGAGCAACCAGGGTCCCAGTGATGCACTGCTGTGGGACGGGATTTCAGGGGCTGGGTGTTTCTGAACTCATAGGTCCATTCCCCAGCTGTCCCCATTCCACCACAGCAGAGCTGGACACCAAGCCAAGGCCTGGCTGCCCCCACGGCCAAGTGCACACTCACTCACCCTGCTGCAGGGACGAGCCCTCCTCGATCTCTTCCCCTGCCACGCTCTGTAAGGAGGAACAGCACAGGTTACTTCTGTGGGCTGGAGGCCTTTGCTGTGCTTGTCTCCTGCTACGGCTTTCTCCAGAGAGCTGGACTTGGGGCCAGGACTGCATTCAGGGAGGGAGCAAGGGGCCATCCACCAGTGCTGTGGCACCACAGGCCAGGATGGAGGGGTTTTACAGGCAATGGCAGCAGGTGCTGGAAGCCCAGCAAGGCCCAGCTTCCACCCCTGCCACAAACACGGCTGGGCTTGCCCAGGAAGCTAGGGGAATGCTCTGACATAGCTCCAGCCAAGTGGCTTTCGAATGCCCCAGCTCCAAAAGAGATGTTAGGGGCACAGGGAGCAGCTACCTCCTTCCTTGTGGAGCCCTATAGGTAAACAAAGACAGCCGAGACTGCTGGCTCTGCGCTACTCACGCTAATAAGCTCATCTTTACCCTGTCACTGAGGAAGTGATGGCCCTTCAGGAGACACCTCCCATGTCTCAGAAGAAGCCCTCCCAGAAGAGCTCTGGCTCAAAGCAGCTCCCCAACAGAGCACAGACTTACTTCTGGAGAGCTGGTCTCTCTCAGGACCAGCTCACCCCCGCTCAGCGCTGGCTGTGAGTCAGAGTCCTCGGAGAGCTTCTCTTCATCCTCCTCATGGATCGGGGATGAGGGAGACCGTAGTGTGCTGCGGCAAGAGAAACTCAATTTGCAAGGAGCAGCCATGCTGCCAGCACTGTGGGCCCTGCCAGATTTGGTGGCAGCAGCTCAAGCTGTCACCACCCCTGCCCCGTCCCTCCACCAGCAGCAGAAGCCAACACACACAAGTAGGAGCTCAAGCTATTGAGATAAATTCACCAGGGCCCTCCAGTATCAGCTACTCAGAGAACAGCAGCAGCAGATTTCTGGGACAGAGCCAAGTGGTGCAGAGCTCCAGCACAGTAACACAACTCAGACAGATCTGCCTTTGCATGGAAAGCAAGAGGCCCAGGTCCCACGTTGCTCCTCACACCTCCAGGGCTCCCTTCCCAGGGGGAAATCTGGAATGGAGCACGGTGAGGAGTGCAGGAACAAACCCCCTCTGACCCCATCTGTACAGCCCCACAAGGGACATGTGAAGGGCACCTGCAGTGGGCTGCCCACTCCACGGCATCCACACCTCTATCCTCCATCACAAGGCCAGCAGAGGAGGCTTCAGGCAACAACTAAAAGATCTCATTGAGCATTTTGTGCTCTGAAATTTCAGGTCATTTCCCTCCCCATTCTTTTGCTCCTGGGGACCTCCACAGAAAGCTGAAATCCAACAAGGTTTGGATGTCAAATGCAAATTAAGGGACTAACTGCATTGGAAAGGAGACATTTCCATCCAAAGTGTGGATTAAAGTCTCCTTGTTAAAAATCCTTTCTTCTGGTGACAAAGCCAGCCCTTAGGAGACTTAAGCTGGTAACCTCAGGCTGAATGCAGGGGTGATGTCCCAACTCTCTGGCACGAGTACCTGCTGGCCTCCTAAAATTCTGAGTTAGCAGTGCTACCAGTGATGAGACCACCCAGAGCCCTCTCCTGGCTCCCAGTGCAAGTGGCTACAAGCCCTCAGGGCTTGCAGGAGGAGTGGACCCCTCCATCCCCATGCTGACCTATCTGGAGACTTGCTCCGCTTGCCCTTTTGGTGGCTGCTCTCCACAGCTTTGTCCATCCCAACAAGCGGCCGGCTGGCAGGTGGCATCCCATCCACCACACCCGAGTAGTTGATTTCATCATACAGAGGAGCTGACGGGATGGAGGGGGAGACAGAGCGAAGGCCATTCAGTGCTTCCAGCAAGGAAATGGGCTCATAGCCTGGAGGGATGTTGTCAGAGCTCTGTGGGCAAGAAGGAGAGTGTCATGTTAAGAAACGCTCCCCAGGACAGAAGCCCCCCTAGAAAGGGGTGGCCCTGCTGCAATCCAGCCCTGCACCTCCCACATCACACTCCCCAGCAGCCCATCCCCTCCACAGACCCTCAGCCTCCTTTCCCTGCAACAGCCATACATTCCCCTTCGGGTTGTAATGCTGGTGATGCTCCAGGCAAGTTTCCAGAGCCATGCTTGAGAGTCTGGACATCTCAGGAGGCCAGAACATGGCTGGGCACCCCCCACCATCTTTTCAATAGCTGGGCAAGGGGAGTGAAAAAGCAGGTTCCTAACAAAGCTGCCATAAAATTAATTTGGATTTTTTTCTCCTAAAAGTTCCTTCAATGGTTTAGAGACCCTTCCAGCTCAACAAGTACCC